GAATCTTAAAGATCAATTATGTATGAGAAAACTAGGTCAGCGTTTGGCTGAGGGAAAGGCGTCTGAAAAAAGTCCAGGCCAAAGATAACTGGCTCAGAATCAACACTGGAAATAATAAACAATGCGATTTTCTCAACAGTTATATAATGATGAAATTATGTTGTTATGAAGTATAAGAAATGAAAAATATATATGTGTATATAACTTAATTTTTGTCAATACTCTTTTATTAATATCCTATTTTTTTTTAGAGAATTGAATTAGTCTTTTTCTTTATAAATTCACATATAATCTTGGTTCCGTATTCATTAATTTAATCATCATATAGCAGACTGTAATGTCTAGTTATGGTTATTGTTTCATGTTTCTTGTATTGTCATGTGATTCCATTGCCATCATGTCTAGCGCTTCCCTTGTCTTATGTGTCATTTTCTGATTGGTTCATTGTTTCATTGTGCACAGGTGTGTCTTGTTCAGTCATTAGTCTTGTGTGTGTTTAAGCTCTCATGTTTTGCCATGTCTTCGCCAAGTATTGTTATGTGTTGGTAAGTGCCATGTCCATTATTTTTGTTTATAAACATTTTACACTGCAATTGGATCCGATTCTTAATTTTAATGGATAAGTAATATTAAAATAGAAAGATTTCATTCAAGTGAAACATAAGAAAAAGTACAATTAAATGGAAATAAATTTTGTTATTGACAAGATCCGAGTATGTTCAACGTTACACTGACAATCATATTTCTTTTTAATATCATGTATTCCTTTTTAATAGCTACTCCTGTATCATATTAATTTATCATCCTTTTACTAATTATTATTTATTTAATCACTAACATTTTTGTATTCATAATATGGTTAAAATATGGTAAAAATGCACACACGTTCATCCTGCTTTTCATATTCACAAGAAATAGACTTCATATTGATGGTTTCTGCACACATACGATAGTGCATGATATTAAAACCGCCATAGCTTATCTGCTCCGACCTACTGCACAATTGGCTAGATCACCATGACTTTTAGAGATGACATGACCTGATGAATGCTAATCTATCCAGAAAGGGCCTCGAGGGGCGCTACCTAATCTATTTTAAGAATAGAGGTCTAAAATGTTGTAACTTTATTGGGGTTCAGATCGATCAATTAGCCTGGATTCTTGTTCTATTTACTCTCTTGTAGAAGACTTATCCATAAAAATTGAGAATTGGATCCAAATGCAGTGTAACATGTTTATTAACAAAAATAATTAAAGTACATCCAGGCATTGGGCAAAAAGTAAATACAAACACGGGGTGCAAAAAACCAAACCAATTGAAACCGATGAATGTGATACATCAACAAGGGAAACACAAATAGCACAGAAAATACATACAGGAATAAAGGGCCAAGACACATCTGGAAACAATCAATGAAACTAATCAACAAAGAAAACTACAAACTGACTACAAGCTAAACAGGAAACAAAAACAAAACAGAAACCCAAAATAAGAGTCCCAAGCAGGGGTTGTGATGTGACTATTCTGTATTGTCTAGCACGACATTCTGTGCAAAATGTGATACACATTAAATGTATAAAATGCATACACGCACAAATTACTATAGTAGCCTAAGTAATAACATTCTGTATGTGTAAAAGATAATAAATGTCTGTGTGTGTAATGCATATATCATACATTTAATAAATGTATTACCTTTTACCCATAGCCTAAATAATATTTTTACTTAGCCTAATAGTCTTGACTTTGCTTCAGTACCGTGGAGAGCGGCCACACACACACACACACACACATCTCTTGAGGAGCGAGTGAAAAATGAAATATCGCGAGTGTAGAGTGCTCAAACACACGAGCTGATTTATTCAGCATCACACACACTCATCCCTCGCGGAACTGATGCTCGTCGACGCGCTTGCGTGCGTATGTGTGTGTAGGAGTACCGTGACGTGATTGTTTTTACTCCCATTTTCTTATTATCATCTCATAATATACCGGATTTGGAAGACATCTCCATCACAAGTGCATCGATCATTGAATGGAAAGCAGTTTAATAGATGTAACTGAGCGCGTGCATTGGAAACATTGTTGGGTGAACGCGCGAGAAGGTAGGAAGGGAACGGGTTTCCGCCGATTTTTTTTTCACTTTCTTACCTTTGTTTTTTTTACATCTATGTACTCTGAACAGATTTATATGTCTTACGTGCCAGGGAAAAGCAGAAATGGATGCAGTCTTAGCTTGCACTGTTGAATAAAACACCTCCCCGTTCAGCTCCATCTTTTCCCTTGAAGGGCGCTGTGCTCGACCTCTTTACCGCTCTGAAATGAATGAAAATGTGTTCGCAAAATATTATTTTGCTCTTGTTTTCTCCTTCAATTCTTATCTTGCGTTTTATAACAACACCTATCATTTGGATTTATGAAATATAACGTTAGGACAAATAGATTATCTTTTCATATCTGTATTCCACCACAGCGACATGCCCTTCACTTTGCAACTGGGTTTGGCTAGAATTGAGCGAGGAAAAGCTACCAGTAATCGGTCAAGAATAATCGCTACAAATAAATGGTTGATAATAATCGCTACGAATAAATGCTACCTAATAACTTCTAAAGATTAAGGTTAAAAATATAATCGCTATACGAATAGACGTTTGTAAATATTCGCTACAAATAAACGGTTTCGAATAATCGCTACGAAACGATTCTTTTAGGTTCGAAATGAATCGTTCGAATCATCGAATTGTGTCCTATTGACGGAGTCCAAAAAAAGGATGATTCAGTTAGCAGGCCTGTATTCCTGATTCCTTCTAAGGATCAAATCAGAGTTACTTTTAATAACAATCAACAGCTATAATGTGACAATCATTGTTTACATGTTCGAAAATATTACCTACTCAGAATTTAACAATATTAAACAAAAATGTTAGCGTCATGTGAATGCATTAACTTGATTGCCATAAACATATTAGGCCAGAAGAGTTTCCTAAAAATGTTAATATTAATCAGAATTTGGAATGTTAATCATATTTGTAATATTCAAATAAGTATATGATGTGTATCTCTGAACAAAAGTAATTTTGGGGTTTAAAAAAATCAAGCTATTCATATATAGTCATCATGACATCAGTTTGTCGTTTTTTTGTTTGTTTGTTTTGTTGTCAATGGATCTTCTATTTTTAGAAATTGTTTTTGGATATGTTAGTTTTGGATTTTACTAACAAGTTGCTCTATCAGCAGAATATGAACTTTAATCTGAAAATAATGTGCATGTAATAATGGGCTGCTTAAAGGCACAATATGTAAGATTTTAAGATTATCCAAATACCACTAGAACAGCGTTATATATTTTGTTGATTTGTGTACTTACATTATCCCAAACGTTTCCAAAAATATTTAAATTCAGAGAAATCAGCCATTTTAACCAGGACACTGACCGTGTCATCGCCTCGCCTGCCTATGTCACGAAACAATTGAAGACCGGAAGTACGTCTTTTAGTAGGGATACGGCTCTTCCGGTTAGCTTTTTACGATGGCGGAGTCCGATAGATACTGCTGGACCAAATCTTTCCGCAACCTGCCTAACACGGTCAAAAACTGACCGGCGATGGGCTGATTATCCCCCCAGTTATTCCAGGGAAACCGGGTTGGTATAGTATTGGCTTTAAGTCTATTCCGACCACTTTCCAAGACGTAGATGCTCTCCTTTTCAAAATGCAAACAGCAAACGAAAGTGCTGCCCCGGAGAATATTAAAAGAAGGCCCCGCATTCCTCCTTATTAACCTAACCCTAGACTTGCGGAGTGTTTCGTCCTTTCGTCCTTGCGTGAAAGCTGAGGTATGGTTGTCTACGTCCTGATGCAGAGCAACCCGATACACTACAACAGCAGCTGCGGGTGTAGCCTGCCACTGTTGTTATAGCTCTAGCCGTTCGCCAGTAAGGTAAACGTTTCTATGGTAACAGCGAGTTGAATCAATCAGCAGACGTTGCTGCTACGCTTAGGATTGTGGGTAGTGTAGTTTTTATTTCATAAGATCGTGGATAAAACATGTTTTTCTTAAAACAAGGTTGATTTTATACGAACTTGTAGCTTCTACAGGAGCAAAAACCTTCGTTTTACAACCTCATAGCTCGTGGTCAGTCTACCTCGGATGGTTTAGAGACATTATGGCTGATAATCTAAATCCTTATCGAGAAATACTGTTGACCGGAAGTTCTGAATCCCTACTCCGCGTTCCGGAAGCAGGAAGTGTGACATAGGCCTATGACATCATATCCGCGTTACCCTCGATTTCCAGTTTTACTTTCATAGAGAGTAATCACCAAAGACACTTTAATATATTATGTGTTTTATTAGACAGGTGAGCAACTGTTTGGATACATTGATCAACAGGAAACTAATCATTGTTATACAGCGCAACACGGTTAGTCTTATTGTTTGAATCGCTTGTTTTCTTGATTTACTGCGAGTAACATGTTTTTACCATACCTCAGAGACAACACTATTTTGTCAAGTGGCTAACAGCTTTCTCCATCATACAATATATTTTAAAATGTCATTTAGCAACATGATTTCCGTCGGATTCCTTTCCATCGGCTGTAGAGGTGAAGACGACAACTCTCATGTTTCCACGCTCATTCATGGCGTCATGAAGCCACACCTTCGTTTTGAATAAGCGACCTCTAGCGGCGAAAATTACACACTGTGCCTTTAAGGTTTATAGGTGTCATGTTTATAATCCTGAATGAGGAACAAAAACATTTGCTTTATTAGGGACACAGCTGGATCTAGCTTGTGTTTACTAAAGTTATTCCATTGCTTTTTGGTTGTTTGTTTTTATTTTGCTGAAAATTTAGATGCATATCAAAGAACAAGCTTCGCTTTCACACTGGAATACATTATACTGGAAAATTAAGTTGCTACGTGTTGTATAATAAACACTTCTTAAAGTGTTTCATTGCAATGTGTGAATTTGTTGTGTCTGTAATGTGTGTTTTTACAGGTTTTTAAAAATTAAAGTTTGACGTTGGTGATCTGAAAGAAAACAAGAATCTCCATGGCAGGTGAGAGCTTTTGACTTTCGTAAACCAAACTGTTACCATATTCAAGTACCATGGTATTTACATGGTACTGTAATGCAGTTCAAAGAATAGCATGGTTCTACCATGGTACATGTCCAAAAAGCCCTGTCACTTCCATGGAATGTTGTATTAGTTTTGTTACTGAACCCATGACTTAAGAGGTTAAGCTTTAAATTGTTTGTTCCCCCACAGAAAACAATTTCCCTCCTCTACCACGGTTCATTCCACTGAAACCATGTTTTTACCAAGACTTCAACGAGATCCCAGACCAGTGGCGTTCAATGTGCAAACGAATGTATTACCTATGGATATGTATGTTCTTAAATATTTCAGCATGTATTATATATTTTTGAAGTATTCTCACTGCATGTAATTTTTTGTTCATTACTTTGTGTGTGTACTGAGTAGATTGCAATCATGTGGCTTTATTTGCCATTACAGTGACTCTTTTGTTGTTACTGTAAACACTGAGAAAAAACGAGACGCATGAAAACTTGTAGAGACTGGTTTTGTATTTTGATCTATCGGTCCATGGGATGTCATATTACTCTTGTTATTGTACAGTTTACTAGGTGATCATTAAGTATCACAAGCGTTAGAGTTGCTTTTGCCATGTAGGACATTTACAAACTCCTTTTTTATAGCACACTAATTGGGAACTATTTTGAAATGAGTCTGGGAGTTGAGAAAGTAAGTGTTTGTTGAAATAAATACACATTTGTATTAGTTTCTAAAGTATTGTTAGCTTTGAACTTAGTTTACTTAGCTATTGAACTTTAGTCATTGTGTGTCATAAATTCCAACCCCGTTCCAACAGATGAAATTTTAGTTTTCCTTGTAATGTAGTCTCCCACAACCCTAAAGTATGCATCAAATGCAATATTATGTATACATGATATACATTAGATATATTTTGTAAGAGAATGCAATCAGTTTTTATTTTATTTTAAATCCATTTTTAACTTTTTTTTAAATTTTATATATATATATATATATATATATATATAATTAACTTTCTTTTCATTCAATTTATTTTTAATACATTTTCAAAATAAATCAAATGGTCGATATAAGCTAGAGTTGTTGGGTCCTTCATCACACTTTTAAGGTAATATTAATTTAACATTTTTTTTTCTCACTCGCAGTGAATAGTGCCACTCTAGCTGCAAACCTGATTGGCTGTCTAGCATGGATGTGTGGAGGGGGCGGAGCAACCAATTTTGGTATGGCCATCCTGTGGCTGATACTGTTCACCCCATGCTCATACGTGTGCTGGTTTAGGCCCATCTACAAGGCCTTCAAGTGAGTTAAGTTCATGTTTAAATATGGTTCAAAGTAGTCTATGAATTGTAATCATGTCATTGTGCTTGACCCTAATGCAGTTCACTCTTTCTTTTGCAGGACAGACAGTTCTTTCAACTTCATGATGTTCTTTTTCGTCTTCATGGCGCAGGTGGTGATTAGTATCATTCAGGCCGTTGGAATCCCAGGATGGGGAGTTTGGTAAAAACAGCTCATTGTGTTTAAGAAATAGAATGAGATGGATAGATAAATAGACAGACAGATAGATGAATAGATAGACAAACAGACAGACATATACACAGATTGATAGATAGACAGCGTTGCTATAGTGTGACGATATTGCATTCCAATAAGTAGCTCTTCAAAGTCAATACCAAATCAAAACTAGTTAGCACATTATTTATAATTGAAATGGTTTAATGACAATGGTTTTTATAGTTTTTACAAAAAAAAAAAAAAAAAACTTTTTTGTTGTTCGAAATAAAAAGAAAGAAGGAAAATAGTTACAAAATAGATGTATGAGATGATAGAGACAAAGAAAAGAGAAGGCAAAGATTACAATCTTACTTCACTTCCTTGACCATGTGTCTGTAACCCAAATGTGAGACGTTCAAACTGACCAATCAGATAATTACAACTTCCCCCATCGTACTAAAGGTGTGGCAGTTCGTAGACCCCCGATGTCGACATACAGTATCTTGGCCTACAGGCCTTGATCACTATCAGCACCTCTGCCTTTAGGAATTACAAATGGTCCTTGGGGTAAGAAAAAGGGGGGTTGAAACAGTAAAAGCAAATGTCTTTGTTCATTTTTAAATATCTTTGATTATTTTCAATTCGACAGATAGATAGATAGATAGACAGACAGACAGACAGACAGACAGACAGACAGACAGACAGACAGACAGACAGATAGATAGATAGATAGATAGATAGATAGATAGATAGACAGATAGACAGATAGATAGATAGATAGATAGATAGATAGATAAACAGACAGATAGATAGATCAGACAGACAGATAGACAGAAAGATAGATAGATCAGACAGAGAGACAGATAGACAGAAAGATAGATAGATCAGACAGAGAGACAGATAGACAGAAAGATAGATAGATCAGACAGATAGACAGAAAGATAGATAGATCAGACAGACAGACAGACATACAGACAGAAAGATAGATAGATACATAGATACATAGACCGTAATATGTATAAGTAAAAGTTTTATTCTATCTTATTAAAATGCACTGTAAGAGTGTAATGTAATGTAAAAGTGCATGTGAAGTTTTATGCTTCAGTTGTAAGCTCATTTCTGGTATAAATTTTGGTTGGTATTTGAGTGACATCTACGTCTATAAGTGACATATTGTGGTAGTTTTATTCTATGAGTAGTAATTTGTTGTTTTATTTATTTTTTATTAGAAAAGCCTTTCTAGGGACCTGAGATGCAAATTAGCTCTTGCTATACTCTCTATGTACAATACATATTTTCCAGCTTTGACTGGTATCATGTTTTTTTGTACTGTCCCTATATAAATAAACTGAAATGAAATTAAATAGATATACATACAGACAGATAGATAGATAGATATACTTATAGATATACAGATAGATAGATAGATCAGACAAATAGATAGATAGACAGACTGACAGATAGACAGAAAGATAGATAGATAGATCAGACAGACAGACATACAGACAGAAAGATAGATAGATAGACAGACAGACAGATAGACAGACAGATAGATAGACAGATAGATAGACAGATAAACAGACAGACAGACAGACAGATAGATAGATAGATAGATAGATAGATAGATAGATAAACAGACAGACAGACAGACAGATAGATAGATAGATAGATAGATAGATAGATAGATAGATAGATAGATAGATAGACAGATAAACAGACAGACAGACAGACAGATAGATAGATAGATAGATAGATAGATAGATAGACAGACAGATAGATAGACATATAGATAGATAGATAGATAGATAGACAGACAGATAGATAGACAGATAGATAGACAGATAAACAGACAGACAGACAGACAGATAGATAGATAGATAGATAGATAGATAGATAGATAGATAGATAGATAGATAGATAGATAGATAAACAGACAGACAGACAGACAGATAGATAGATAGATAGATAGATAGATAGATAGATAGACAGATAGATAGACAGATAAACAGACAGACAGACAGACAGATAGATAGATAGATAGATAGATAGATAGATAGATAGATAGATAGATAGATAGATAGATAGATAGATAGACAGACAGATAGATAGACATATAGGTAGACAGAAAGATAGACAGATAAATAAACAGATAGATAGATAGATTAGACAGACAGAAAGATAAATAGATAGATAGATTGATTGATCAGACAGACAGATAGATAGATAGATAGATAGATAGATAGATAGATAGATAGATAGATAGATAGACAGACAAATAGACAGACAGACAGTATGATAGATAGATAGACAGACAGATAGATAGATAGACAGACAGATAGACAGACAGACAGAATGACACAGATAGATAGACAGACAGACAGATAGATAGATAGACAGACAGACACATAGAACAATGCTGGTTCAGTTCCAGTTGAGGTACCCTATAGAAACTCAAATGACTCATATACTCTTGCGTCACGTATTATTTTTAGCACACACATAGTATGGTCTGTTTAGAGTATATTAGGATGTTATGCAATATTCTGAATTTATACAATCTTTTCATGTACTGTACTTTTTAAGTGGCATGTTAATGAGAAAAATATCTCTTCTTTATGTTTTTCTATTTCAGTGGCTGGCTGGCCACCATCACTTTTTTCAGCACTAATATTGGCTCTGCCGTTGTTATGCTGATTCCAACCATAATGTTCACTGTCGTGGCTGTTTTCTCCTTCATTGCCCTCACCAAGGTACCCCTTTATTGTTTCTCCATCATTATTGTTTTGAATATAAACAGATCTCATGTTCTCAATGTTTTTTGTTGATTAATATAATGTTTATCCTGCACAGAATGTACAGTACTCTCTTACTTGTTCTGAGCAAAAATCCACTTTTTAATTTTTTTTTGATAAAAGATATCTTTAACAATTCTTGAAATGTTAAATTTGAAAACTTGTCCTGTGGTTAAAACATGTTATTAATTGAGCTGTGATGGTGGCAGTTTTTGGCGGTGATAAATATATATTGACCTCAATAAAATACATTTTGAAATATATATTAAAAAAAATAGGCTCAAACATCCGTTTCGTAACAAATGTGCATGTTTATTTTAGCACTTATGTCATTGAAACAACACACTACAGCCTGTAAAACATTGAAATAGATATCAGTAAATAATGGTAACCTAAATAATATAAGAAAGTTAAACATTAAATAAAAAAACATTACTTTTAGATTTCCCCACAAAGAAATACTGTTTGGGACAAATAAACTTGACATGCCTTACTAAATCTAAAAAACACAAACAATAGAATTTGACGTGTTAAATGTGATGAATAGAATTTGATGTTCAAGTAGCGTTTTTCTACTTTACCACAGTAAAGGATGTAATTAGTATAGTAACTAATTAAAAGTAAACGAAAGGAAGAAATGTCAATAATTCCCTGTGAGACGTGAGTGAAGATTTGGCAAAAGAAACGAGAGATTCATTCCATGTCCAGTGGAATAACTCCTGAAATATTGTTAAATTTGTGGAAAATCAGGTGACCAGATCGCAAAACAGAATGCAAAGCCGACAAATAGCTTAAATTTATGGGCTCATGTACCTCTCTCATTCGGCACGAATCCAAATGTTTTCCACGGTTGCGATGTAACATTTCATTGCTAACCTAATAGCGTCACTAACGTCACGGATAGTTCCTATAGCGCTGGTTTAGACCCTACTCTGAAGTTCTCTGTTTTAGAAGTTCTCTACTCTGAGTTCCTCTAAAAGAGTTCCTAGAACTAAAATAGTTCCTAGTTCCTGCGGTGCGAACATGCCGACATCCGGGAACTTCCGGTCTCCGGTATGGTCTGGAAATCCTAGCAGATATAATTTCTTTCTAAAAAGGAACATAGTTTTGAGGATACTGCATTTTCTTATACCTTTGATAGAAAAGGTAGATTCGAGATCAGCCTGTAATGTAGAAATAGATGAATTCTACTAGAATTCAGTAGATGAATTGTAGTATTAGTCACTTCCGTGTTGGTTTCAAGAGAGAGACAGGAAGGTTGCCGCTTGGTTTGCAAACAGAGGCAAATTTGAAGAGATTGACGAAAGGCTGTAAGGAAAGCGTGTGAGAAAAGACCTTATATGGAGATGGTTTGGGCGTGTTTTATGCAAATGACTTACCGTGTGCACGTACACGTTCCCGCTCATTTAGAATACTCCAAATTCACTAACATCAGAACTAGGGATGCACCGATATGAACATGTTGGCCGATACCGATAACCGATAATTCTTTACATTTGAAAGCCGATAACCGATATATTGGCAGATAAATCTAAATTACATTTTTTATATACTTTGATAGCCTGTATAACAAAAGGCTCACCATTAAAAGCATTGTCTCAAACACTTTTAACATAAATCAAACCTATACAATACAGTATAGCCTAGTTTGAACCAGTGTAAGATTCCTTATCTTTTAAAATTAATTTTACACTCATATGGACAACTTTCTTTATTAAAAAATGGTACTTTATAATAAGGTTTAATTTTGTTAGCATTAGTTAGCAGCATGACCCAACAATTTTATAAAACATTTTTAAGAAAGTTGTATCTGTTAACATCAGTCAATGCACTGTGAACTAACATGAACGCACATATTTTATTAACTAACAATAACAAAGGCTATTGCTCTCTGTTAGTTAATGCATTAACAAATGAGACCTTATTGTAAAGTGTTATCAAAAAATCTATTGCCTAACAAAAAATAAAATACATAATGCAAACAAGTCATTGGATAACATTGGGCTGCATATAAAGAAACAAAATGCATGGATCAATAAAATGGAATCGCCTCCGCACGGACAATAAGAAAAAAATAGTTTAATCAAACCATATCGTTGATGAAAATAATACGAGAACAAAATAATGTTAGTTATTAATTATAATGCAATGTTTTTGAAAAAATTTAACATTTTTAATATTAGGCTACATTGATAGTAAACATCTTTAATACCTTAGTTACTGTTTCAAATTACATTGCTGTGTGAGCTGCGCGCGCTGAAGCTGAAGAGAAGGTTGATTGCTAGAAGGTTAATCAACTCAACGGTTGCTGAAGAATGCAAACCCAAAGAATTTACAAATGTATTACAATAGTGAATACAATTATAATTGTATGACACTCCCAATCATAGCTTTTAATGTTTTGCATTGTTGTTTAATCTGCGCGCGCTGAAGCTGAAGAGAACGAGCACCGGCAAAAACTGAAGAACTTTTCTAGCAGGTTGTTTAAATCCACGAACGAAACGCATCATATGTGAGATTAATCAGATATTTATATTACATCAACTTTATACTACGACTTCTCTGCGCAAAATGACGTGAATGCACAATCGAACTTGTGCTGGTCATAATGTGTAGGCTAATCCCTGTTCTGGACGCGCTATTCTCACAACAACGCGCTGAAACGGCAACTAAACAGAGAATTCACAACGTTTTATTACAATAGTATTCTCATTATAATGGCATGTATTTGACAGTCCCAATTATAGTTATAAATGTGCATTGCTGTTTGAGCTGCGCAACGCTAAAATGATCAAAGATGATCACAGCAAAGATGATCACCGGTACAATGAAGCGCTACTGCATCGTTCATTAACTCAACCAAACGCATCCTATATTAGATTAATCCGATATATATACACAAAATAAACATATTACAACTTACAATGGCGCAGAATGCTGCGAATGCTCAAGAGAACTTGACTGTGCTTGTCATGAAGGCTCGACTCCATAGACGCGCTCTTTCCGCAACACAACGCGCTCGTCGCGCTGAAACATTGGCGAACAACAATTCAGAACATTCTTTTGCGTGTTTTTATTATAATGTTATGAAGCCTATGTGACAGATTTGTGCTGCACATGTTGCAGTGAACTGTATCTTCCTTTTCGAAGTGAATCCAATCATTCAGAACCATCATGGCGAACAGCGCGCATCTCTCAACTGAAGTAAATAATCTATTATCTATCGGCTTTGATATATCGGCCCAATATTCCTATCGGACCGATAACGATAACATCAAAAAAGATCATTTATCGGCCGATATCGATATGTGGTCGATATATCGTGCATCCCTAATCAGAACGATGTGAAGAACAAATTCATGTGCGTACGAACCAAGCACAAGTCCTGAAAAGTGAAGCTAAAGCGTCTGATCGCTCCCAGGTGGTTGGTCACAGTATAGCTCATAAACCCCGCCCTCCCCATGAAGTCTAATGGAAAATAAACAATACAAATTACTCTTCAAATAATTTTTTTTCTAAAGATGTTTTCTGTCATTTTAGGTCGTTTTTATCACGCTGATGTAAGTTTAAGTGTTTGTATTTTGAAATAAGTTTGGTCTTAGTTAATTATTTGATGCTATAAAAACGGGAATGTGACGTCATGATTGACAGCTGTGATTGACAGCTTCTCTAAACGAAGTAGTCACTGAGGCACCAAATGATTTTTTTTTTTTTTTTTTTTTTTTTTGATTGGAGCTTCAACTTTAATTTCTACATGTCCATAAATGTTTATTTCACACAGTAAATTTTGTACTACCGTATTTTCCGGACTATAAGTCGCACTTTTTTTCATAGTTTGGCTGGTCCTAGGTTCACTACTGCGCAGACTCAGGTCCCGCGTTCACTACTGCGCAGACTCAGGTCCCGCGTTCACTACTGCGCAGACTCAGGTCCCGGGTTCACTACTGCACAGACTCAGGTCCCGCGTTCACTACTGCGCAGACTCAGGTCCCGGGTTCACTACTGCGCAGACTCAGGTCCCGGGTTCACTACTGCGCAGACTCAGGTCCCGGGTTCACTACTGCGCAGACTCGGGTCCCGGGTTCACTACTGCGCAGACTCGGGTCCCGCGTTCACTACTGCGCAGACTCAGGTCCCGCGTTCACTACTGCGCAGACTCGGGTCCCGGGTTCACTACTGCGCAGACTCGGGTCCCGCGTTCACTACTGCGCTGACTCGGGTCCCGGGTTCACTACTGCGCAGACTCAGGTCCCGCGTTCACTACTGCGCAGACTCAGGTCCCGGGTTCACTACTGCGCAGACTCAGGTCCCGGGTTCACTACTGCGCAGACTCAGGTCCCGGGTTCACTACTGCGCAGACTCAGGTCCCGGGTTCACTACTGCGCAGACTCAGGTCCCGCGTTCACTACTGCGCAGACTCAGGTCCCGGGTTCACTACTGCGCAGACTCAGGTCCCGCGTTCACTACTGCGCAGACTCAGGTCCCGGGTTCACTACTGCATGGACTCAGGTCCCGCGTTCACTACTGCGCGGACTCAGGTCCCGGGTTCACTACTGCGCAGACTCAGGTCCCGGGTTCACTACTGCGCAGACTCAGGTCCCGCGTTCACTACTGCGCAGACTCAGGTCCCGCGTTCACTACTGCGCAGACTCAGGTCCCGCGTTCACTACTGCGCAGACTCAGGTCCCGGGTTCACTACTGCGCAGACTCAGGTCCCGGGTTCACTACTGCGCAGACTCAGGTCCCGGGTTCACTACTGCACAGACTCAGGTCCCGCGTTCACTACTGCGCAGACTCAGGTCCCGGGTTCACTACTGCGCAGACTCAGGTCCCGGGTTCACTACTGCGCTGACTCAGGTCCCGGGTTCACTACTGCGCAGACTCAGGTCCCGGGTTCACTACTGCGCAGACTCAGGTCCCGCGTTCACTACTGCGCTGACTCGGGTCCGGCGTTCACTACTGCGCAGACTCAGGTCCCAGGTTCACTACTGCGCAGACTCGGGTCCCACGTTCACTACTGCGCAGACTCAGGTCCCAGGTTCACTACTGCGCAGACTCAGGTCCCGCGTTCACTACTGCGCAGACTCAGGTCCCGCGTTCACTACTGCGCAGTCTCGGGTCCCACGTTCACTACTGCGCAGACTCGGGTCCCGCGTTCACTACTGCGCAGACTCAGGTCCCGCGTTCACTACTGCGCAGTCTCGGGTCCCACGTTCACTACTGCGCAGACTCAGGTCCCGGGTTCACTACTGCGCAGACTCAGGTCCCGCGTTCACTACTGCGCAGACTCAGGTCCCGGGTTCACTACTGCATGGACTCAGGTCCCGCGTTCACTACTGCGCGGACTCAGGTCCCGGGTTCACTACTGCGCAGACTCAGGTCCCGGGTTCACTACTGCGCAGACTCAGGTCCCGCGTTCACTACTGCGCAGACTCAGGTCCCGCGTTCACTACTGCGCAGACTCAGGTCCCGCGTTCACTACTGCGCAGACTCAGGTCCCGGGTTCACTACTGCGCAGACTCAGGTCCCGGGTTCACTACTGCGCAGACTCAGGTCCCGGGTTCACTACTGCACAGACTCAGGTCCCGCGTTCACTACTGCGCAGACTCAGGTCCCGGGTTCACTACTGTGCAGACTCAGGTCCCGGGTTCACTACTGCGCTGACTCAGGTCCCGGGTTCACTACTGCGCAGACTCAGGTCCCGGGTTCACTACTGCGCAGACTCAGGTCCCGCGTTCACTACTGCGCTGACTCGGGTCCGGCGTTCACTACTGCGCAGACTCAGGTCCCAGGTTCACTACTGCGCAGACTCGGGTCCCACGTTCACTACTGCGCAGACTCAGGTCCCAGGTTCACTACTGCGCAGACTCAGGTCCCGCGTTCACTACTGCGCAGTCTCGGGTCCCACGTTCACTACTGCGCAGACTCGGGTCCCGCGTTCACTACTGCGCAGACTCAGGTCCCGCGTTCACTACTGCGCAGTCTCGGGTCCCACGTTCACTACTGCGCAGACTCAGGTCCCGCGTTCACTACTGCGCAGTCTCGGGTCCCACGTTCACTACTGCGCAGACTCGGGTCCCACGTTCACTACTTCGCAGACTCGGGTCCCGCGTTCACTACTGCGCAGACTCGGGTCCCACGTTCACTACTGCGCAGACTCGGGTCCCGCGTTCACTACTGCGCAGACTCGGGTCCCGCGTTCACTACTGCGCAGACTCGGGTCCCACGTTCACTACTGCGCAGACTCGGGTCCCGGGTTCACTACTGCGCACTCAGGTCCCAGGTTCACTACTGCGCAGACTCAGGTCCCGCGTTCACTACTGCGCAGACTTGGGTCCCAAATCTGCGCAAGATGTCAGCGCCATATTAAGACTTAACTTCACTTCGTCCATCTTTTTTTAAAGTCTATGGTACGAACTAGGTGGAGATTTTTCGTGAGAAGTTCTCCTGTGTGTACAAATACTAAATAATCCACGCAATTATTAGTGAAATAGACCCAATATCTGTGCCAGTTCAAATGAGTTATTTAGCTTCGGGCACATCCCTGCTCTACCACCACGGTGGGGCGGTTGTCAAGTTGACCGGCACAGTCCTTAGTTATTAATGTCCTGCGCTATAAAAGATCAACCTTCAAGTAATAAATCTTCTATCTTAGGTTCACAACTTCTACCGTGGCAGCGGAGGCAGCATGAGCAAGGCTCAGGAAGAATGGACCACCGGTGCTTGGAAGAACCCTCACGTCCAGCAGGCAGCTCAGCAGGCAGCTATGGGCGCCGCACAGGGGGCCATGCCGGGCCAACAACAATACTCCGCTGCACCAACCTACAACTATGATGAGCCAATGTAGATCCTTTACATCCTCAATGGGGGGAGGGGACAGAAACAGGGTATTTGGGAGGGATAAAGTCAGTAAAAGACTAGTTTGGGGAAGGGAGAAAGGAAAGATATATCTGACCAATTTGAATTCAAATAGGTTCCCACAGTACAACAATACATAAGCTTTTGCTTAAACTGTTTTAAAAGTGTGTGATAGTTTAAGGAGTTGCTTTTGGTAATTAGACCCCGTAAATAGGAAAGTATCAGTCTTGCCATGTGGTATTACGGCAGATTTAATTAACGGTTGTGTAGTGTTTCTCCACTTAATGTATTTTAAACACTAGATCACCGATAAAGAAACATTCCAAAGCTCACTATGTTTCTATAGTAAATAGATTCTCAGATGGTTGTCAGATTCGTCTATGTGGTATTTGCAAGCCAGTTATATATTTTGGTTGGCTGTTAGTATTCAAAAACACATTTCGACTATTTAGCAGACACATCTTTACTCTCACGTCTTAAGAATAAACATAGGTTTTATGCACAGACAGAAGAAAAGATCAGCTTCCGTAAATAAATTGACTGGTATTTACTTGATCTTACAGATGAAAAGGTATAAAGCTTATAAACATTACATTGTTTCTGTTGAGCACTTCACATCAAGTGCAAGTACAAAGAGAGCTTGTTTTGTCTTGTCAAGTTGTTTTTGTTTTCTTTTCTTTGAAGGTACAAAAGAAAGCCATATGTTTACGTTGTTTTAGTTGTTGCGTATTTTCGTTTGCGTTAAAGGTTGTTTTAAAATGTGTTGTTGTGTTGTTTTACCTCAGGATTTAATCGTCTCATTTTAATGCTGATGTACTGTAGCCGAGGTTCTAACGAAATCGATTTGATGAAATATTTGTAAATGTACACGTTGTATGTTTGTACATTAGTTCAATTTAAATGCTCTCGAATAGAGTAAATATTTAATCTACTTTTAGCCACAGGCTTGTTACACAGTTCAATCCGTTATGATCGAAATCTGCTGCAGAGGCCGATGTTTTAGCGTTGTTCTCATTGATATCACAGAAATCATAACTGTTGTTTTGCAAATAATCTGAGACTGAATTTCAGTAATTTCTGGCTTCTGGGTGGTTTATTCTCCACTGGGTTAAAAATGTCAACTAAAGCACATTATGAAGTAATATTGTCACAAGTACAATATATATGTTGTATCATATTAATTATTGATTACAAGTGATGTACAGTACAGTAGTACTTCTCCCCAAAATGATGTCCATTTGTGATGATTTTTCTTGACTTTGCCTGAAAATATTTGCTCTATTACACATCGACAAGCAATTTCTGTGTGAAATTCCTGAATTACATAAATTTAGTAGCTGTCAAATCGATTATTGCGATTAATCCCATCTAACATAAAAGTTTGTGTGTGTATATATTTACATATTTTACAAACTTTTGTTAGATGCGATTAATCACGAATAATCGATTTGACAGCACTTACATTTAGAGATTATTTAACATCTTTCAGACTTGAAAAATTGTGGATTTGTATAAAGTAGAGCATTTAGTTAGATTTGTTGTTCAAATTCAGAATTTACAGTCTTATCTATGAGGAGCTGGTTAGTGATCAGTACATGGTTGACTGTAGAACTGGGTCATAGTTTAAGGAGTATAAAGAAAAGAAAATGAAATAGATTAAATAATAGTGTACAGTATATGTAATATGTCATCTCAATGTCTCTATCAAGGCTTGTAAAATACTTTTAATCATTTCAAGAACTGTGAAACGTTTAATACGCCCATGCCATGTGTGATATTAATCATGTATGTTTGGGGACTTTTTCTATGTACTCTTTTGTTTATGTAAAGATCTTTTTGTTAAAATTTCGTTAATGTGTGTATTTGAGTGTTTTAAGCGTAATTGTTCCACTGTGTGATGCTTAGTACACAGTTGTGGGGCTTTTTGGTAAGACTGGACTTCCTGTGCTAAGCTTGGCTGAAGTTGCGTCCCTGATCGAAATCAATATTCCTGTTGCGCCCTCTGGTGGACTGGATGTTTTAAACCTGTTTGTTTTCTGATAGTCACCCAAGAAAACATTGACAGAAGCAATATCGATATCTGACATGCATGATTAAATAAACAAGAATACTATTTTTCAGCCGCACCAGCAAAAGCTAAGGTCACTGTCCTTTCCAAGACCCGCCATGTTCTTTTGTGCCCTGATCTTTATGCCTATGTATTCCAACAGTAGATAAAGCCTTGTTCATACTGTAAAGTTAAGTGAGTGGAAAGATGCCAGTAGTGACATAAAACAGATAGTTGTCTTTGTATAGTGAGTTGTGTGTGGTGCTTGGTAAATTTGTGAATTCAACCAAACCTCGTGCCATGTGTGTGTGTAGATGTTAATTATTTTGTCAAGCCTACAGTGGAATGTATTGTTGACTTGGATACAAGAACTACAGTCTGGTACATTTTACAGGTTTCCATTTTTTTATCTCTTTTTTTTTGTCCTGAGTTTTAATGGTCAAACATTTAAATTATTTTGTATTGATATCAATTTAGCCATATTTCTTCCTTCAGCCACTATGTTTAGTGTGCTTAATCATCCTAATTTGTACTTAATTTGTAATAAATGCAATGTAAACACCACATAGGTTTCCAGAGGAAAAACTATACTTATAAATCAAACAATCATGCAAACATGAAGCTCAATAGTTGTGATTTCTGAAGGTGGTTGCTTTTGAAGTTTGAGATGATTTATTTTTTGGTTCAGTTTGTATTACTTTTATATTATTTTGTCTCTCCCTGATGGATAATAAACAGATAATGTTTATTCTGTGTCCTTCCAATTCTTTATAGTCAATTAAAAATAAAACCATAAAAACCCATTTTTATTATTTTAATAAAAGAAATGTTAACCGAAATAAAATACAAGAAAAACCTTAAACTTATTTTATTTCAGCCTGATTTAAAGGCAGCATTTCTCATTTTCATTTAGTAAATTGATGTACTAAATTAACAAAAACTTAACTAAAAATAAATAAAAAAAACAATATAGATTATAGACTAATAAAAACTAAAGACTAATAAAAAATGGCAAACAACAACAAAATTACTACAGTTAAGTAAAATTTAAATAAACATGGAAAATATTAAAATAAAAACTTTCAAAATATCATTAACTATAAGGGTATCTCAATGACAGTAAAATAACACTGAACACTTAAAAGGCTCAGAAGTGCCTTGAAACACGCATCCTTATTAAATGTGTTGAAGTAAGGAAACAGGAAGGCAGGGTGGGACATATCGTGCAGCTCCTCCCCTTTTTAAAATAGCCAATAGCGTTTAGTTTATGTCACAAGCCGTTGAGCTCAGTAAAGCTGCAGTTCCCTTTCGATACGGTTCGACACCGTTTTCAACTAAAAACGTAAATCTTTTTATGCGTTTTGGTCTCCGTGTAAACAACAAAAACTTTATACATATGAATCACTGGACTAATCTTCTTACAGAATACATCACATTAGAAAAAATAGCATACACTAACAAGAATATTATATCTACATTTCTTGATATATGGAAACCTTTCCTAACTCATCTACATATAAATCAGTCACCTGGAACCGGACTTTCCACGCACTCTCCCAACCACATGTTCACAAACTTATAATAAATAATCTCTGAGCATTATTGAATACATAATTTTGCAATTATCTATGGATAGATGACTTTTATAATGTTGGATAAGCTATACTTCTTTCCATTTATTATCTATATGTCAGGATTCCATCCACGTCACGATCGCCATCACCGCCCACTCATTCCCAATCACCCAGTCGGACACTCCCCCGTTCACAATCACCTGATTACTGATCACCGTCACCTGTGTCCCATCACCCACATGCACTATAAAGCACTCACCTTCACTGCAGTCACTTGTCTGGTCTCGTCGTTACATGACTCACAGACTCTCCTTCCACTCACCTGCTACTTACCAGATTCCCGATCCTTCCGGCTCATCCATCTCCAGTGTGACTGCTTCTAAACCACCTGCAAGAGAGAAAAGGACATTACCATTTCAGTTAAGCCTGTTCTATGTTTCCATATCATTTGATCCTCACCTGTTATCTCCTACTGAGTATTCCTCTGCACAAATAAACGACAATAACTTACCATCCAGTCTGTTTCCTCTGTGAACCCTGACAGAAGACCAGACCAGTAAAATGATGCAGAATCAGCCGGAGCCTGTGGAGGATCTTCCTCTCAGTCAACCACCAGCAGATGCAGCGATCAATACACCACCATCACTTCCGCAATCAATCACTCCTCCAGCACCCATACCAATGGAAGTGGATACTACACATATCCGCAGTGGAGAGACAGCGTCGAGTACAACATTCTCTTTGTCTCTACTGCGCCTCCGACAAGCACCTCATCAGTTCATGCCCAGTGCGTCCACCGCGTCAAGCGGTAAGTGCCATCCAGTTTGCTCCGAGGGTAGAACATTTGATTCGTACCAGTGTGCATATTCTGACCCCTTCTGTCTGTCTCCAAGTGCAAGCCCTTGTTGACTCTGGTTCCGCGGGGAACTTCATCTCCAGCCTCTGTCTTCAAAAACTGAACATCCGTCAACGGCGCTTATCACAAGACCTGCTCATCCATACCATTCAAGGCAAGCCATTAGGAAGAGGTCGTATTCGCCACTTCACACCCACTCTCATCCTTCGGATCGGATGCTTACACTCGGAGGAAATCTCTTTTATGGTGCTGGAGGAGTCCACCGCAGATATCATCCTGGGACGACCGTGGCTTATCCAACATCAGCCAGTACTCCACTCGGCAACCGGAGAGGTACTCCAGTGGGGTGAGAACTGTCATCATTCCTGTCTCGGTTCCGTTCAGAAAAGCCCTTCCTCTCTTCAGTCCACACCAGTAACGGGCGAATCAAGAATTCCAGTCTGCTCTACGTCCGTAGAAAGCCCCGAGGTCCAGAGCCAGGTCGAGATCCAAGTGGAGTACCGGGCGTTCCAGGATGTCTTCAGCAAGCAACTGGCAACCAAGTTACCACCGCACCGGCCATGGGACTGCGCAATCGACTTGCTACCCGAAGCTACCCTTCGCAAAGGTCGTATCTACCCTCTGTCCATCCCGGAACAGAAGGCCATGGAGGAGTATGTGGAAGAAGCACTCAACCAACACTTTATTCGACCATCGACCTCCCCTGCCGCTTCGAGTTTCTTCTTCGTGGCCAAGAAGGACGGAGGCTTGCGGCCGTGCATTGACTATCGTCACCTCAATTCCCAAACCATCAAATTCAGTTATCCCCTTCCTCTGGCCCCTGCCGCTCTGGAACAGCTCCGTGGAGCTCGCATTTTCTCAAAGTTAGACCTAAGAAGTG